TACTTCAGTGTCATGCAACATGCTAAAATCTGCAAACCTACTTGATATTTGTCTGATTCTCTGTGGCCTCTGAACTTGTTCTAAAGCTTCTCTAAAACTTGGAACAGTGCTAGCTTCTGGACCTTGTCCAGAACTACTTCCTTCAGAATTACCACCTTCAGAGCTACTTCTGGAAGTTTGTCCTCCAGACCCTATGTCTTCAGAGTTTTCCCTTCCAGAAATATAATCACCACCAGATTCTGGATCATCATCAGAATCTGGATTAGAATCAGATCCACTATTAGAATCTCCCTGAGATTCTGACTCATCTTCAAAGTCTTCAGAATCAGATTCATCTTCTGACTCGGACTCGTCTTCAGAACTATCTGAAGAATCTTCAGAAACTAACTCTGGTGTTGTCACTACACCAGAATCTGATTGAGACTTGTTCCAATCCCATGTTTCTGAATCTTTCACAATAATGTCTCTGCTGATTTCAACTTTGTTAGTTTCTGGACAATAAAGCTTATAGACACATGTACTGTGGTATCCCACCAGTAACATTACTTTGCTTCTATCATCCAGTTTTCATCTTCTAGCTTCTGGAACGTGTTTGTAACATACATAATCAAACACCCTCAGATGGCTAACACTTTTCTTATCTCCAATCCACTTTTCTAAAAGAACAATTTCCTTCAGCTTCTTCGTTGGACACCTATTCAGAACATATGCTGATGTGGCAATAACTTTTCCCCATAACATGTGAGGTAGCTTCTTCTCTTTCAGCATACTTCTAGACATATCAAGCAAAGTTCTATTTCTTCTTTCAGCAAGACCATTGTGCTGAGGAGTATATAGAGCAGTAACCTTATGTTCTATTCCATTCTTCTCACGGAACTTCTGAAACTCTGTAGAGTTATACTCACCTCCACCATTCATTCTCAGAATCTTCAACTTCTGACCACTCTGCTTCTCAGCCTTCACCTTGAACTTCTGAAACTCAGTAAACACTTCATGCTTGAACTTGATGAGTGTTACCCATATCATTCTTGTGAACTCATCCACAAAAGACACAACATATTTATTTTCTCTAAGTGAAGATACTGGAAAAGGTCCACACACATCAGAATATACTACTCCCAAAGCATGCTTCGCCCTGGGGGCTACTTCTGATGCAAATAACAATTTGGATTGCTTGCTTTTCATGCATATCTCACATGACTTCTCAGGCTTCACAATCTTTGAGATGTCATGTACAAGCTTCTTAGAACTTAGATGCCCTAAGCTTCTATAATTCAAGTACCCCAACCTCTTGTGCCAAAGCTTATTGTCACCTTTAGCGCCTTCTACACTAAGACACTCTGCTTCAGCTGTTTCTACATTCATCTTGAATTTTCTGTTGCTTCCCTGCTCAGACTTCATAATCAACTTCTGATTGGAATCATATAACGTCAAGAGATTGTCCTTTATAAAAACTGAGAAACCTTTCTCAATGAGCTGACTCACACTCATCAGATTGCTTTAAATTCCAGGAACATACCAAACATCTTTGATCAAAATGTTTTTTCCATTCTTCACTCTGACTCTGACATTTCCCATACCTTGTGCATTAAGATACTTATCATCAACACATCTGATCTTTGTTCTCCTTTTGGAGTCAAAGTCTATCAGCCATTATTTGTTCCCAGTCAAGTGGTTTGAATAGCCAGTGTCCATATACCACCAATCTTCTGGACACTTTCCATCAGAATCAGAAGCCATCAGTAGCACAGGTTCATCATCAGAATCTCCTCTGGCTATATTTGCTTCTTCTGATTTCCTTCCTTTGTTTCTACAATCTGTGGCAAAATGGGATAACTGTTTACAACAGTAACATTGAACCTTCTTCTTTTCATACTTTTTCTTTCCTTTCTGATATTTCTTTTCATCAGAAGTTGAGGTTTCTGACCTCTGGAATCACCACGTCTATTTTGATTCAGGTCCTTCTTGACAAAAGAAGCCTTCAGAGCTTGCTTAACTTCCCTCTCAGAAGTTATTTCAGTCATATGCAACTCCTGTGCTTCTAGATTACTTTGCAACTCTTCTATTCTCATGGTTTCCAGATTTTTAGAATATTCAATAGAAACAATAATGTAATCAAACTGAGGAGTAAGCGACCTCAAAATCTTCTCTATGATTACCTGTTCAGAAAGTGTTTCTCCACAAGCTTTTATCTCATTAGTGATCAGAATCATTTTGGAGATGTACTCAGAAACTTTCTCACTGCTCTTCATGTTGAGATTCTCATATTGCTTTCGCAGGGACTGAAGCTTCACCTTCTTTACTGACGGGTCACCACCGTAACATCTGACCAGTATATCCCATATCTCTTTCGACGTCGTCGAATCAGTAATCTTCTCAAATACACTTTCATCCACACGCTGATGGATATAGAACAGAGCTTTCTGATCCCTCTTCCTCGTAGCTCTTTCTGCATATCTCTGTTCTTCAGTAGCATCTGCTGCAACTGGAACATAACCATTGGTAACAAGATCCAGAATATCTTGAGTACCAAACAGCACACGCATCTGTATCATCCATCTGTTCCAGCTTTTGCCATCAAAAACTGGAAGTTTAGTGTTCAAACTACTACCTCCACTCATCTTAAACCTTGCATAAATCTCAGTTCTCACTCAGTGTTTCCCAAACCCACAGAATCAGTGTGATTCTGTTCAGATTTTGTTCAAGATTCAACAGAAATCAAGAACCAAAATCAAACACACAGCTCACTTTCACTAGTGTTTCCCAGAAATTCAGAAGAACCAAGAGCTCTAGATACCAATTTATTGGTGCAAGGTGATGAAATTGAAGAAGAAAAGAGAAATAAAGATGACGGTTGCTAATGATTGAAAAGGAATTGAATAATATTAATGAGACCTACGTACACCTATTTATACACAAAGATAGCAAAAGATAAGAATGCCACATAGACCCTAAAAGTAGATAAACTTCCAAATATAACAAATACTAAATTACCCTTTAATAATAACGACGCCTCTATCATAACATTGTTTTAATCTTTGAAGTATAGTTATATACACGACACTGACATAAGATATTGATAAATTATATCAAAAATAATTTTTAAAAAATAAAATATTAAATGTAATTACGAGTGTCAATGTCCGATATAAACACATACATTAACACATTTTTTTAATATTTTTCAAAGGTGTGACTAAAATAAACACATATATTAACACATAAATAATTTTAAAAAAATAAAATATTAAATGTAATTACGAGTGTCAATGTCCGATATAAACACATACATTAACATATTTTTTTAATATTTTTCAAAGGTGTGACTAAAATAATTTTTATACACACTCATAAAATATATAATGTGTGATGAAAAAAAAAACATTTTTTTTAATATCGGTTTAAATTGTTAAACACATTTTGTATGAGTGTCACTCGACTCGAAAAAAATCAATTTAAAGAGTCTAAAAAAATGAAACACTTATATAATTTATTTTAAAATATTTGTCCGACTATTTTAACACCTACCAAAGGAGTGTTATATAAATATTGGACAATGACACGTAACAAACACCTTAACACAATTACTTTAAAATAACACTCTCTTAAAGGTGTTCTGTTATACATTTATAACTTACTATCAATTTATTCTGTTACTCTTTTGTTGAGGAAATTATTGTTAGTGAAGTCAGTTATAAATAAATGCTTATACATTACAACTAGTCCCTATGCATGTGTAACCAAGTTAAATGCTACTACAACAATAGCTACAATCATGAATTAGTTTAAAGCATATTCAATGTTCTTGTAACCAATTATAAGAAAGAAAGTGAAAATGGCCACGTGGGAGAAGATGCTATAATTATATACTTATCTTAACAACTTATAAAAAATTGAAAAAGTAATATATATACTACTAGTAACAATCAAATAGTACACAATCACATGAGAGATGAATTGAAGACAACTCAAAAGATCCACACCAACTCCAAAATATATTGGAAAAGTGTATATATATAATATCATATTCACTCAAGCCAAAAAGTTAGAAGAATACAATAAAGATAAAATAAGAAAACTTCATAAACAAAGCAAAGAGAAATGTTACATATTGGTCCCTACATACCCTTCAACAAGTATCCCACACAGGCTGTTAAAGGAAACCAAATAATGCAAAGCCTTGATAGGTCACATGGACACATGGTCTTTTGCAAAGCAAACTGACACCACACATGGCATTGTCTCCCATTTGCACATGCATGTACTGACTGTTCCCTATCACTCCCACCACTTATTAACGCATCTGAATTCTCTCAAATGGTCTAGTCTCGATCCTTAATTTGAGATCAGATGGTTCATATTTACTTTAAACGATAGAAATCGTTAATTTGAGATTAGATGGTTGAAATAATTGAAAATTGCGCAACACCGTTATTGCATTGGTCTTAAATTTGATATTAGACAATTCAGATTATACACAACAAAAATCATCTTTAAATAATATTCGCACGTTTGAGATTAGAAAATGCATGACATCATGATCATCTTTGAGGGTGTATAAGATAGGTTGTCGCGCATGATCTAAAATTTGTCATGGATAAACTATAACTAAAAAAACTTCATAAAATATCTGTCACTGTTAAACTTTGATTAAATAAGACTCATATTAAATTTTTCTAAGAGTTGAATCATGACTAACTAATAATACAAAATCTCAAAAGTTAATGTCACGCCGAATCTCCATCCAAAACCTTTTTCTTCTTGAATTATGTAAATGAAAAAGCTTTAGCACACTCAAACTTATCATTAAAATTCTCACAACAACTCACAAATCAGAAGAAAAAAAACTTTTAAACCTAATCTAATACTATACACAACAATTAACATGAAGTAAAGACTATAGTTAGCACATTGAATTACATTACATATGCTCTTAAGCATATATAAGAATAACATTCAATTTTATGTTTTGAGGTCTTATAGGGTCAACTAATAATCTCTTATATAGCTTCCAAGAAAGTGCATTGCAAGTGCCTATGGCAAGTGATTAAGTGGTCATTTGTTAGGCCAGCTGCCTGCATAAATGAATGAACCACTGTTGGGCCAACAAACCTAAAACCTCTCCTAATCATGTCTTTGCTTATGCTTTCTGATTTTGATGTCTTCACTGGAATCTTGTGGCCAAATTTGTATTGAGTTGAGATTGGTTTTTGATTCACAAATCCCCATATGTATTTGTCAAATGAACCAAACCCTTTTTTAACTTGTAAAATTTGGTTAGCATTGTCAACAACTCCTCTAACTTTGCTTATATCAATTCTATATTCTGAACTAATAGATATCATTTGTTTATCAGAAAAGTTGGCCACAATTTCTGCATCAAATTCTGAAAATGCAGTCCTATACATAAATTCAAAATTATTAGTTCCATCAATCAAAAATTTAAAATAAAAAATGTTAACTTTGTTCATATATAAGTATGTATATTATTATTATATGAATGGCTTTTAGCATAACCAAACCTGAAATCTAGGCGTTTTTTCAAGGTTGAGGTCCAATCAGATCCAACTTGAGCACCACTTAGAATTAGAAGTTCAAACAACATCCTGAATTATGGACAACAACATATAGTTTTTGTTAGTCTTCATCATTGAAAATTCATGTTTGCTACAATTAGTTTACGTGTGTTTGTAGATAACATATACTTTATATCATAAGCGTGTTTGTTATCTGACACGTATTATTATCTGATACAATATTTCAGATAAAATATGTATTTGATATCTGATATCATATTTCAGATTGAAAATGACATGTGACAATGTTTGATACTGACTAGACACATACACATGTAATTACATTTAAATAGTCATTTTTTTCAAACTATCTAAATCGACGTGTGATAAAATGTGTTAGATGTTCATACCTCATATGTGTCAGTTCATATCTAATGTATCATTAAGTGATATTAACATAATATATCTCAAACTATCAGAGTCGACGTATCATTGTGCGTAAGATATCTATATTTGTTTTAGTGATTCATGTGTCCTTGTACAAGAGAGGGAGAAAAATAGGAGCTTACTTGTCATCATGAACTGGAACTCCCCATTCTTCATCATGATAAGCAATATAGATAGGATCTATAATCAAAAGACACATATAGATTAACAATAAGATAAAGAAATATAAGAACTAGTATTAAAATATTTACTGTAAAATTACCTGAATTGGCTGTGATAAAGCTACACCTTTTCTCCTCTTCATTACTAGTCTTTAAATCAAGAGCACTAGAAGGATCAATAGGAAAAACTCTTTCGAATTTCGCCGACTTCGATCTTCCATAATGAGCAATCTTCATTTTCCTTTGAGCCTGTTGAAGTGCCATCTGTTCCCTTCTCCCTGCAGCTATACTTCCTGGAGAATCAGTGATCAAAGAAGAAGAATAACTCAAGGAAGCTTCAACACCATAAGACCCTTCTTTGAAACTCTTTGATTTCTTCCTCTCTAAGCATGGAGTTCTCATTGTGTTCTTTGGTATAACAAGCTTTTCACAACTTGAGTTCATTCCATTATTGTCATTTCCTCTCTTTATAGCTAGGAATGGTCTAGTAGGAGAGATTGGTTTTGGAGAAATTGGTGGTGACAATGAAGTAGTAGAAGTAGTTTTGTTTGGAAGAGGTGGTGAAAAAAGTGATTTTGATGTTATTTTTTTCATTGAGTTTCTTCTTTCAAGATTTGGAACAACAACATGGTTGCATGTTGGTTGAAGTACTTGTCTTCCATTGATCCTAGAAATTACATGAGGAGGTGTTGTGGAAGATTCTATGACCATAGTTTCTTTAGCCTTAAAGCTACACATATTTTTTGTGAGTAATGTGAAGAGAGAGGAGAGATTGGAGGGAGAGGGAGAGGGAAGAGAGGGATGTGGGGTTTTATAAAATGTAGGGAAGGTAGGGACAGGTAAGAGGGGGAGTTGTAACATGGGAAGGTGGGGATCTGCCATACAACCTCTTGTGAAGGGTATTACTTTTTCGAAGCTAAACCACGAGGGATGATTCTATATAATTTTTTTGGACACTTTGCTAATGTGTCAAATGGTGATCAATGTCATTAAATATTAATTGATGAATTATTGGTATTAAAATTATAATGAGGTTTTAATCACTAGAAGATAACTCAAGAGCATCGAAATGAGATGACACACTTCACAAGTGTATATTCATTAAAAATGTTTAATTATTAAGGAGAATCAAGGAAGCTTGAAGGATGATTCGTTGGGTGAGATATTATATACCATAAATCATGTTTTTCTTGTAAGTAACTTTTTTATATTTTGAGTATGAAGTGGATATGTGGCTTCTCAAGGTTAGGGTTGGAGTGATGGATAAGAAAGGTGAAAATGTAAGGAAAAAGATCAATCATTGGGTCCATTCACTTTATTATCTGTATGGAATCTCATTCTCTTTTTCTTTATACTTATATTTATGTGTATGCATGAGAGCGTGCAAGCATATGGAGGGGGTTAGAAAAAGCACATAAGATGAGATCAATAACAAAGTATGGTGGTTCTTGGGATTGAAATGGAGGTTCTAACTTTAACTTGTAGTACAATTTTCTCTATTTTTTTCTCTTTGACTTTTCTTTTCTATCTATTTTTTGTTACCATTTAACACTTGTAAACAAAGTTTTATATGTTTTTTGTTCAGTGGTCCTGAATCATATGATATTGAGATTAATAAATTTGAATTACATGTTGGATGATTTACTTCTTATTTGAATACAAAACTTGTTCATGTGCCTATCATAGGTAGACAATTAGTTACAATCTTGGAGATATGTATGATCTTTATCTTACCAAATCAAGATATCTTGAATTTTCTGCATCTCTAATTGGAAGGTTTTCATCTATTTTAAAAGTAGAATAAAAATAAAATGAAGCATCTCTCACTTTTGTAAGTCAAATGGCATAGGTGAAATCTGAGTGGAACCACCCATATTACAAGATTGAGAATCAAAGAAAATTGTGTTTAATTAATTGAACATAGATTAGGAAAATGGTTTTAATTTATAAAGTTCTAGATTCCTTTGATCTTTTAAACTCAACAAGGAAGAAAGCTATGGTTAATTTTTTAACTTGAGATTCTTTTGAAAAAAATTACCCAATTGAATATATAAAATGGTAGATGTTCAACAACTTATTTTCTAAAATCAACAAATTCTAAATAATTTTAAAATTTGTATGGTTACTTTACTAGTCCTATTTCATTAGTCAATTTAACTCTTAAAATGGTTATGAATGGACGAATATGAGTTTTTTTTTTTAATTATAATTTATTTCAAAATTTAAAACTTATTAGTTCTTTTAGAAGCATCAAGACTTTAATAAAATAAATCAAAAGAATTATAAATTGAGTCCAAAACATGTTCTTCGGGGAATCATTCTAATCCCTCTTTTCTTTTTTGGTGTATTTAGACCGACGACCTCTCTTGATCAAACACTCGATTGCATTCTTCAGTTGGATGTAGTCGTTGGTGAAGTAGTCGTGACTTTTATGAGAATAACAATATTTTGATTTGTCGGTCTTAGAAGACTTCTTAATCGAGAAAGGATTGTTTATCCTGACTTTCTGAAACTCGCCGTTAGCACATTTTTTTATAGATTTTCTCTCGAGAGGACTTGAGGGGAGTGTACTTGTCAAACCGTCCGCGGGTCCCGTGATCGTGTTCCTCTCTACATCAATTGGACTTCTTCTTTTATAATCGTCTGTGTCATACTCTATTTTTTGTCTCTTGCTTTTTTTTTCCTGACGCTTATTTTTTGCCTTTTTGAAAAATCGATCATTTTTTACATATCTCTTGTTTTAATTCGGCTTTTTCAATTTCTATTTCAAAAATCCAAAAATTTAAAGTCTTTTATTAGTTCCATTTAAATTTATATTTTTTGCACCATTATTCAGAAAATCATAAAAAAATATATATAGTAGACATAATTTTATTTTTAGTTGCAATTTTTCATTAAAATATCAAAAATATAATTCATTTGTATTTTTTGTATTTTTTTATTCATTTAAAAGTCATAGCTTTTACACAATATTACTTTTTTTATCATTTTTTATTCTTAATTTTTATTTTTAATTCAAATTTTATTTGCATTTTATTATTAGCTTTTTTTTAATTGTTACTAACATTTTGCATTTTCTTTTGTTATTACCATTGTCTTAGTATTAGTTGTTATTATTATTATTATTATGATTATGTCAAATAACTAGGTGAAAAGATGACAAATTGCAAAGTTGGGACCACCTTCAAGTTCACACGATTTTTGCTACAACTTTTCTCACAGTTTTAAATCAAAATTCAAATCAATATCTACCATTCATTTAAAATCATCAAAGGTTACAAATTATCCCAACAACATGGCATGGATCATCACTCTAAATCCTCTTCAAACTTCATTCAACTCAATCCACACCATTTAATGAAATTTATCAAAGGTCTAAACTCTCTAATTTCAATTGGCACGGATCGATAAAATGAGCTCCAAACTTCACCAAAATTTCAATTTTCAAACTCTGAAAAATTCCCACTCAAACGAACAAGCTCGTAACATCGACAAAATCGAGCAATTTTCAGAGTGAAGCAGGAGAAAGAGTAGAGAGTCACTATACCTGAGCTTGAAGACCCAGCGGAGGACCTCCGATTTGGTAATTTTGATTTCTCTTTACTTTGTGTTGTTGTTGTTGTCACCATGTGTGTTGTTTGCTTTTGTTTATTCTGAGTCACGTTGTTGTTGTTTCCACCATGAGAGAGGAATGATCGCGGTTTAGAAGAGAGTGCAGAGTTGTGAGAGACTGTTGTTGTTGTTGTTATCCGATAAAACAGAAACTATCGATTTTCAGAAGAGGATTTTCTTTGTTGTTGTTGTTGTTGCTGGTAGAACGACAAAGATGATGAGATGATGATGTTGTAGATGATTCAATTGAGAAGGGTTGAAAGAGAGGGGAATAACAATTATTTGTGGTTGAAAAATTCAAAAACAGGGAACCGTTAATGTTGCTTGGAACTAAGCGGAGGGAGTACCGTGTTGAGCGAAGAAGAGGAAAATTGAAAAAAATTAACGTGAAATAATTTAGTTCTAGCGGCGCTTCACACTAGTGAATTAGGTTTTTTTTTAGAGTTTTAAGTTTCTTTTGGGCCTTACCCATGCATAGCTAACCCGGTCCAGTCTTTTTATTTATTTATTTATTTTAAGGATTTCTTATTCCACTCCATGTTTTTCTTACGTAACACGTGAAATTCTATAAATGTTTTTCAAAATCGGAAGTATATTTCTAATGCGCACCAAGTTCTGATAAACTATACATTGGAATCAGAACTTAATTTCCAATTTTGATCCAGAGAAGTGATTTCGATTTTATACTACATAGAAATCAGAAAAACATCATTGAATAACACCAATATCACAAACTCAAAATACAATTCATAACATAAACATAGGAAATACATTAAGGATTTTAACATAAATCAAACATTACAAATCAACATCCACGTGGACGTTGCAACATCATGATAATATCATCGATCAATCTTGAAATAGTTGCATCTAGCTCGATCAGAACTTTCTCCTCAAAACTGGTAAAAGTATTCCACATAGCCTGTATATCAGTGTCATTCTTCAGTTCACGATTGTTGAACACAAGCTTCCCATCTTTGTCAACATATGGTGAGTGCTACTCGATCTTCACAACTATGTGATTGTCACTATAAGGCATCAGGTCCTACAATATGTCTTGCAGATCTTCAAGGGGCATGTACTCGATGAACTTAAATTCGCGTGATGGTGTAGCATCGGTAAAATGGACAACTCCAACATGCCATTTGATGTTCATTTTTGTTTTTTGGTGTTGTGGTATGAAATAATATGACAAGTGAGGTTATTTATAGTAGTTGGAGGCAAACATGAATCATACAAATCTTATCCCTGTGTTAGAGTTAAAACCAGAATTGTACTTCCGATTTTATATAAATTGGAACCGGAAATATATTTCCGGTTAGTCCCTTGGGAGTGAAAAAACAGAAACAAAACAGAAAGAACATGATTATATATTATTATTCAAAAACCATAAACATATATTATCATTCAAAAACCCCATGTGTTCAAATATTGTATTTTGGTTAAACTACAAAAATTGTTATATTTCCCCAGCATAATACATGAAAAAAATAACATTTAAAATAAAATGATATATAACTGCTTAAATGAGCCGAAAAAATTGTCGCCGGCCAAATCCACGAGTGGAACCCCTTTTGTCTTTTCTCTATTTTTCTATTTCAATGTTGTTCAAGTTGTTGTATTCTTGGATCCTTTCAATGAATTGGTTCGACCAGATCTCAGATGGAATTGTGAAAAAAAGCGCCCACTCCGGTGATGTAGGTGGTATAGAGTATCCCGATTTCAAGTACACTTGAACAAAGTACAACATATTTGAAACACACCCAACACATATGATACGATAATTGGTATTTGGTGTCGGAGTATTGCGCAGTGGGAAAAAAGTATTTAGGAATGCAATCTTCCTCTTTGATGTGGAGTTTGGTGGCGTCATCGGCTTTCAAACATCTTTCTTGTATCGCTTCCCATTCAGTCAAGATAGAAATACTTGATTTATCACATTTTATTTTACCGTTATCTTCAAAACCGAGTCTCTTCCAATGACTAGAGACCTCGTCCATGCGTATCGGGAAATCAACCTTCATCTTCTTAGATATGACACAAGCACGAGGGAGACCATATGTTTTCACAATTTTACAACCACACTTTGAGCTATCGTAACCGACATTAGAAGCTCATTTGACTTC